CATTACCATAGGAACACCATATGACCAAAGAGCGCCACGCGATTACCATTGGACACCATACGGCTATCGTAGGAATACATAGGAGGTCGCACGATTAGCACAGGCAACGCATACGATCACCATAGGGAACCGTGCGAGTACAGTACGAAAACCGTACGATTATCTTAGGAAACCGTACGACGACCATAGGACACCATACGAATGCCAACGGCGATCATAGAACAACCACACGACTACCAGAAGGCAGCCTTACGACGACCATAGGACAACCACACGATTACCATAAGCAAACCACACGACATACAACCTCCATCGGAAACCATACGATTATTAGATGAAAACCATACGACGACCAGAGGACACCCATACGGCTATCTTAAACACTCATACGATCAGCCATAAGACACCATGGGAATATCACCTGTCCCATACGACCACCATCGGGAAGCCGTGCGATCATCGCCGGACAACCATACGACTATCGCAAGGAAACCATACGATCACCATACGGAAGCCATGCGAATATCATCGGAAAGCCATTTGAGTATCAAAGGACAGCCATACGATTATCGTATGGCAACCATTCGAACAGCATCGGACAACAATGCGATTAGTTTGGCAAGCCAAGCGATACTCAAGGGGGCGCCATACGATTATCGTAGGACAACCATACGACGATCATAGGATCCCAGTCGCTCATCATCGGGCAACCATGATCATCATAGAAAACTACACGTTTATCATGCGGAAGCCCAATGGAATTTTCAAATGCTCAAGAATCCTTCAAGCATCCTCGGATCCTCCGGTGTCCCTAGGGCATCCTTGTCACTCCCAAGGAAGCCGTCAGGACGCCTCGGGAATCCTTACGGAGCTTGTTAAGAGTCCTTTGGGTTTCTGGAGAGGAACCATTCGGGAATCCTCCTTCATTCCTGAGGCGCCCTCGGACACACGGGAATCCTTACAGGATATGTTGGGATCCTCGGCCTTCAGAAATCCCAAAGGAATCCTTGGACCCGCTGAAATCCCGAAGAAACCCCAGGGAACTCAGATCCTCGGGAATCCCGAGTGATTCCTCAGATCCTTCCGAATCCGTGGGGGTCCGTGATGAATCCCGAAGGCTTTCCTGCGCAAACTGAATATGGTAAACCCCATTATTATGGTTTTACTACTACTACTACTATTACTACTACTACTACTACTACTACTACTACTACTAATACTACTACTACTACTACTACTACTACTACTACTACTACTACTATTACTACTATTTGTACTACTAGTACTACTACTAGTATTTCTACTAGTATTACTATTACTACTACTGCTACTGCTACTGCTACTGCTACTGCTACTACTACTACTACTACTACGACTACTACTACGATTACTACTACGACTACTACTACTACTACTACTACGGTTACGACGACTACTACCACTATTGCTACTAACTATTTCACGGCTGAAGCGACTACGCTTATTTGTACGATTTTTATGAGTACGGGTAACGGAAATAATTTTATACTAATGTGCATATCGTTGTTACGAAGATTCGTACACCGCCTACGACGACGCATATTATTACGATGACTACCGTTACTACAACGACTACGGCTACGATTACGGCCATTGCAACTACAAGTGTCACGGATTCTCATTACTATTGTTACGATTGTTGCTTTTTTGATTACAGATACGATTATGCCAGTAGCATTTCGGTTCGTATTATTATCACCATTAGTGCGACTGGTGCCATGACTCCTTCTACTACTGCTACTACTATTGCTACTAATCCTACTAGTACGGCTGGGACTACGACCGCAACACTTTTTACTACGAGTACTAGTTATATCTTCTACGAGTCATACTACCACGGTTATTTCTCCGACGACTTGCACCGGCTACTACTACTACTACTACTACTACTACTCCTACTACGATTGCTACTACTACTGCTACTACTACTACTACTACTACTACTCCCACTACTTCTATGGCAAGTTCCTTTTTTTGCCATTCCGACGACTACTACTACTTTTACTACTACTACTACTACTACAACTACTACTACTACGACTACGACTATGACTACGACTACGACTACGACTACGACGACGGCTACTACTGCTACTTCAACTACCACGAACATTACTACTCCGACAGCTACAAGTACGATTGTTAATACTGCTCGTATTACTAAGACTGCGTCTATTACGACGACGACTCCTAACATTATTATTTCTACTCTGATAGCACTATGACTACTGCTACTACCATTCTTACCACAACTCCCACTGTTCCTTGTATTACTACTCGTAACACGACTGCTACTACGCGTCTCACAACTACCACGATCAGTCTTATTTCTACTACGACTACTCCTACTCCTACTATTACTACTACTACTACTACTACTACTACCACTACCACTACTACTACTATCTGTACGACTGGTACGACTACTACTACTACGACTACGACTACGACTACTACTACTACTACTACTACTATGTTTACGGCTGCTACTACTACTACTATTACTACTTTTACCTACTACTACTACTACTACTACTACTACTACTTCTACTACTACTATTATTACTACGGTCACGACTATGACCATTATTTCTATTATTACTTTTACTACTACTACGACACCTTCTGCTACTAGTATGATTATTGCTACTTCTACGAGTATTTCTATTCCGTCTCTTGCCCCCCGACTACGATCATTGCAATTATTATCAGGATTGTTCTTTCTTGCGGTTCCTACTGCTCCTCCTCCTCCTTTTCCTACAACGATTTTACGACTACTACTACTACCTTTACTACTACTCTTACTACTACAACGACGACTATTGCTATTGTGACTACTATTACTACTACTACTACTACTACTACCACCACTACTACTACTACTACTACTACTACTACTACTACCATTACGATTGCCGCTGCTACTTCTTCTTCTACTACTACTGCTACGTGTGCGTCGCTCCTTCAAGTGGCGACGCGCGCGCTGATCTGTTCGTACCTTGCATGCGTTCTGTTCGCGTTGCTCGGGCAACAATCTGCTACAATAGTTGTTGCGCCAGTAAGCGCTTGCAGTAGTTATTCGGGTCTGACGCACGCCTCTGAAGGGGAAAACATCCGACGCAGCTACTTCGCAGCAGTCAGCGAGAGGTGGCCACTTCAGCTCTGATGGGGGCAAGCGCAAGAGACAACCCCGACCGACCCGAAAAAGCTCTTGTAGATGCCGGGCGAAAGGGGGCACTTTGATATCTCAGGAGATGACCCGGGGAGACAGACATTGCTGAAGGTCTGCCCGTACTGGCCGTGGCACGAGGGAGAAACAATTAAGCAGCAGAAGGAGAAGGATAAGGCGTGGCCCAATCATGTAGATTTACTGTAGCAGGACTTCGCAGGGCGCAGCAGTGCCCAGGAGGGCTGAGCAGGACATAGCAGGGCTGAGCGGCGCCAGCTCGCACATGGCAGCGCCGAACAATGCTTAGCAGGGCTGGGCAGTGCCCAGCAGAGCTCAGCAGGATTCAGCAGCACCTAGCGGCGCTTAGCTCCGCTGAGCAGAGTTTAGCACGCCTTAAGGCTGATCAGCGCTTCCCAACGCCAAGCAGAGCTTAGCAGCGCCTAGCAGGGCGTCTGGCAAGGCTGAGCAGGGCTTAGCATGGTCTTGCAAGGCTTCGCGGGCTTAGCCGTGCTTCGCAGGGTTCAGCAGCGCTCAGAAGCATTTCGCGTGGCTCAGCAGGGATGAGAGAGGTCTAGCATGAACTGGCCGCGTTCCGCAGCGCCCCATAGAGCGTAGCAGGCCTGAGCAGCGCGCAACCAGCACCGACATTGATGGATACGCCAACCACGGCATCTTCAGGATGTGACTGGGCTCTCGGCAAATAGTGACCGATGGACCGACGACGCTTTTTTGGCGAAGACGTGACCATATGGCATTTTACACCGCCCTCTTCCAGCATAGAAGCGACGACAATGACGACGCGATTTGTTTTGCAATTCCAGGCTCGCAGTGACCTCGGCGGAATCGGCGGAATTGTGTCTGCTTCGCATGAAATCGGATCCCACGTGATGATTCATACGGTTTGGCGCGGAGTAGTTTCTGGCCCCTTGAACTAACAAAACAATCAAAACCGCAATGGGCCGAAACTACTCTGATCGACGCCGGCCACATGCCATGTCAGAAATATTGCGAGCGATTGGGTATTCCTTGTCCCTTTTTTTTCAAAAGCGATGAAACGTCCGCTGCCGCTGTGCATTGTTGCCTCTTGGGGTTGTGTTGGGCCGCTTCGCCACACATGGGTCCCCGCTGTTGGGCTGCTCTGGATCCGTTGCGTTGCCCTTGGGGATCTTCAGAGCCCATTTGGAGTCCTTTTCTCGTTCCTCGCTGAGTTGTCTTGGTTGATACTGGAGCCATGCCAGGCTTCAGAAGCCCATCGGAAGCGAAAAGGCGCGAACACCAGAACCATTGAAAACACTTTTCGGTGTTTGAAGGATGCTCGCAGATTGGGAACATCCTGGGGAGGTTCCGTGGCCACGCGGGTCCGTGATTGGGACCTTTAGAACATATGTTGTAGGCGATCTGGCGGTCTGGAACTGCCCAGTGGACTTGTGGAGTGCATCTTGAACGTATCGTTGGTAATTGGAGCCGCTTGGCGCATTCTCAGGCCGCACCATGGGGGGTCCAGCATTTCTCTGCTGATTTCACCATGACTTGCAAGGTGTAGTTTCCTTCCAGCGGCCCCCAGGAGCCGCCACGCGCGCGCGAACTAGAGAGGATTTGGAGTACAGGGAATTTCGTGTCGGAGATTCGTACGCCTCTGGCCCTTCTGGCTTGCGAGCTCGTCATCCTCGCTATCCTCTCTTTCTCTCTCTCTTGTTCTCCCCTTTCCTGCTACCAGTATCCCCATCCCCCCACATCACCACCACACGGTACCCGCCATCCTTCGTTATCAAGTGTTTTGCTCCCCGTGGAGGAGAAAGTCTTGCGCGCATTCTTCTCTTGGCTGCTGCCAGACGTGCGGAATCAGCGGGGCAATTGCAGCAAAGATGTTGCCCACGATCACAGGCGCCACGCCGCGTAATTGGCAGAGGGAAGAGGGGCGGGGAGCAGGAATGAGAAGAGGATGATGACGTAGACAACAGCGACGACGACGACGATAACGATGATCACGACGATGAAACTATGGTGGGATTTGTATCCGGGTATATACACCTAGTTATATGTATGTATGCGCATGTATATGCATATGTCTGTAATATGCACGTGATGAGGTATATGTTTATACACATTTGTGTATGTGCATGTACATGTGTGTATGTATTTGTGTATGTAGATGTGTATGTATGTGTACACTTATAGGTGCATTAACTGTACGTGTGTATGTATATGTATAGGTGTACGTACCTGTATGTGTATACGTAAATGTGCATGTGTATATGTATATGATTCGGCGTATATAAGTGTAGATGTATGCGTATATGTGTGTGCAGTTGTATAGTATGTGTGTATGCATGTGTACATGTATACGAGTATGTAGACGCACACGTACATGTATATGTAAATGTACATGTATACACATGCATACACATACGTGTAGATGTATATGTATATTTATATACGCATACGCATATGTAAATGTAAATGGAAGTGTACTGGTGTATGTGTATGTATATGTATAAAAGAGTAGGCCCAGGGGGGGGGGGGGGACCAGTGCCAGAGTGCCGCATGGGGGCCAAACGAGCCTCGACCCGCCAAAATGGCCCTCAAGGGGGCCCAGAGGGCCCAAAATCGCCCCCAGCATGCCCATTCGAGACCGCCCACGAGGCATCCAAGACACTTGAAGAGCCTCCAAACCGCTGTCTGGTTCTCATGGTTTCCATCAGATTTTCCTGTCGTCGCTTGCTCCGCTTCCCGACGCCCTGAGACGGCACAAGAGGCGGCCACGAGGGCTCCCAGAGGAGCCGGCCCACACACCAAGGGCTTCACTGGGGCAAACAGGGCCCTGCAACGGGCCCAGCACGCCCACCATTGCTTCGAGACGCGCTCACAAGGTTTCCAAGACGCCCTCAGAGGGCTCCAAACTGCTCCCCGAGAGAGCCCCAATAGGCAAACATCATCGGTTTCCTCAAGCGTTTCACAGATTTTGCCGTTGTCGCCTGCCCTGTTTCCCGACGCTCGGAGACGGCAGGATGCTTCCCAGAGATCCTCAACACACACACACATATATATATATATACATATATATATGTATGTATGTATGTATGTATGTATGTATGCATGCATGCATGCATGCATGCATGCATGCATGTATGTATGTATGTATGTATGTATGTATGTATGTATGTGTATATGTATTCATATATGTATGTATGTATGTATGTATGTATGTATGTATGTATGTATGTATGTATATATATATATATATGTATATGTGTATATATATATATGCATATATAATATAAACGCGCGCACACACACACACACCGAGAGGGCGCCAAATCGGCCCAAGAGGCACACAAAATGACCCGAGACGCCCCAATGTTGCCCGTCAAACGAGCCTCGGCACCCCACAAGGGGACTACAGGCGGCCGAGAAGCCCCGAGACGGCCCCCCAAACGAGCCTCGACACCCAGCAAGGGCCCTGCAGAGGCCTCCACGAGGGTCCCAGCACGGCCGCAACCCTTCCAGGAACGTCATTGTCGCCGCTGGTCTTCGGAGGAGAGGGTTCTCCACCATGTTCCTGTGGTCGTCTGTTCCGCTGGCCGACGCCCCAACGGTGCCCAAGACGCTCCCCCGATTGCTCCAACACACCCGAAGAGGGTTCGGGGGTGGACAGAACCCCAACCCTGACACGTCGATTAGTGAATTGTCCGTTTTCGGTTCTCGAGGAGGGCGCCGCGGCCGTCACTTTCCAGGCTTGCGCCCGCCAGGTTTGGGCCCGAGGTCGTTTTCACTAAACCACGTTTTGCGAAGGTGGTTCTGTCCATCCCCGAAGGGTGCCAAGACGGCCCAAGAGGTGCCCAAGATGGCTCCAGAGGCCCTCAAGACGGCCGGCTTTCCAAAGACGAGCCTCGACGCGCCAGCAAGGGGCCCCACGGGCGGCCGGGGAGCCCCGCAGAGACGGCCCCCAGCAGGAGCCTCCGACGCCCCGAACGCGCCCTGCAGGGGCCTCCTCGAGGGGCTTAACACTCAGGAGCGAAAGAAGGACGTGCACGTCCATGAATCCACGCTGGTTTCGAGAGTACGCACGCCAGTCTCGCGGATCGAGGGGCCGTGTTTATGTACATAGCTGGGCGCGTACGTCCCCTGTGGGCTCCCTAACCACGACCGCAACCATCATGTCTTTGGAGGGACGGATGGGGCTTCTGGGAACGTGATTGTCGCCGCCAGCCCGAGAAGGAGGAAGACGAGGAGGAGAAGGAGGAGGAGGAGGAGGAAAAGGAGGAGGAAAAGCAGGAGGAAAAGGAGGAGCAGGAGGAGGAGGAGGGGAGGGGGAAGGGGGAGGGAGAGGAACAAGAGAGAGAGAGAGAGAAAGACAGGACGCAGACAGGTCATGAGGATGATAACGGAGATGGCAAAACAGAGGAGGGGGAGGAGGAGGAGGAGGTGGAGGAGGAGGAGGAGTAGGAGGAGGAGGAGAAGGAGGTGGAGGAGGAGGAGGAGGAGGTGGAGGAGGAGGAGCAGGAGGAGGTGGAGGAGGCGCAACCCCTAGTGGGCCGATTCCCTTCCTCGTTCTTTCCCAAGTCGCCCACTGAAGGCCACGAGGCCTCCCAAAGCGCTCCAAAACAGCCTAAACTGCATGTTGCCGGAGGGCCCTCCATCGCCGCCAGGCGGAGGAGAGGGAGAAGGAGGAGGACGAGGAGGAGGAGGAGAAGCAAACTGTATGAGAAGGCAAGAGGAATCCGTACTCATCCAGCTCTTGTACCCTTGCCCTTTTCCTCCCTTGTTGCTTCTCCTGCCTCCTTGTGTCATTTCTTCCCTACCTGCCTCCCTCCCTTCTCCTTCTCTCCCCCTCCCCTCCCCCCTGCCCGCGACCACGACGACCACGACGACCACGACGACGCCGTCGACGCCGACGACCCCATTCCCGCGTTCGTGGCCTTTGGGAGCGCATGCCTGCCAGGAAGGTGTTGTGATGACGAGGATGAGGATCAGGATGAGGTCTTCGGGGTGCGCCTAGACGGCGTTCAAGAGGCCTCAAGACGGCCCCAAAAATGAGCTTGGACACGCCCACAGGCCGTAACAAGGGGGCCAAGGGAGCCCCAAGACACCCCGAAGACGGTGCTTGCTTCGAAACGGCCCACCCGGCCTCCAAGACACCCAAGGGCTTTAAAATGCGTTCCGGCAGAGACCCACACATCCGAAATAACCAAATACCAAATAGTTCAAGAATTGTTGAATTGCCGTTTGTTCCGCTTGCAGGCGCCCCGAAATTACCCAAGAAGTTTCCCTTCAACAAACGGCCCAAGGGGCGTCCGATTGGGCACAACCACACCCCAAGAGGGCGCCAAGACGGCCCAAACCGCGCTCAAGATGGGCCATGAGGCCCCCAGACGGCCCCAGAATACAGCCTCGACACCCACCAAAAAGGATTCTAAGGGAGGCCAAGTGGGCTCCAAGACAAGCTGAGGACGGTGACGGTGGCTCTGAGACGGCACACCAGGCCCCCCAGACGCACCAAAGAGTTTTCGAACAAGTTTCCGAGCGAGATTCGCACCTCAGAATAATTCATGTTTTGTGAGTTGGTTCAATCAGAGCGTGAATTACCTACCCCGCTTTCGCTTCCAGGCAACACCAAACCACACCACGCGCCTCCTCGTCAAGCGGCCTGACCAGTACAGGCTGCAATTTGGCATCGTTTGGTATCTCTTGGAAGCGAGGGTGGTCAAAAGCGAGGCAGGTTGGTTTTTTCCTTGTTCACAAGCGAGGGTGGTCCAAAGCGAGGTGGGTGGCCAAAAGCGAGGGTGGTCAAAAGCGAGGTAGGCTTGTTTTTTCATCTTGTTCAGGGGTGCCTCTGTGGCCGCCGCGTGCCGCCGGACGGCGCTCCAAGGCTGCCCCACGGGGCTGCCTCCGGGAGAGCCGCAGGCACCCCGAGGGGTGGCGGTCGGGCGGCCCGGGAGGAGCCTACAGTGCCGTTTTTAATGCATGTTCCGCGTGCGGATCATGTGTAAGGTGCTTGCGCCTGTCAATGCGTTGGCCTCTCGAATTCTGGTCATTTTGTTCAGTGCACGTGCCCGTGCTAGCAGTTTGTCCGCCAACTCTGGCCAGCAGCGCTCTGTCTAGCAAATTAGCCTCGCCCGTGGCCCAGACGTCGCCTTTGCCTCCTGACAGCCGTCTCGGGCCTACCCGCTGGGCCGCGCACGTGCCGCCGGTCATGATTTGCACCCCCCCCCTCTTGGACACCCCCCTCTTGGCCGCTCCCGATACAAAACAACGACGACTTCGTGCATACATTTATTCCGACATTGGTCATGTATTAGAAATCCCATATGTTTAAAAATCTGATGTATTAGAAACTGCCCTGTGTGACGGCCGAAGACGCCCCGGGGGGGGGTCATGCCCCCCCCCCCCCCGCGGTTCAAAACAGACCCGGAGGCCACCAAAAAGCAGCCACAGCGGCCCAGCAGGGCCGAAGATGCCCGACGATAGCATCAACATGGTCCACAATGCCCCCGAGATTCCCCAAGAATGTCTGAAGATGTGCTTTGCGATGGCCCGGGGAGGGCAACATCGCCCCATTCCGTAGGGAAACCAGTTTTCGTCCTCACCCTGTGGTTGTGGGTCCTCGTTTTGACGAGACATCGCCCCGCGTTCCTGACCTCGCGCCCTTCCCCCACGCTACCTTCCTCCTTCCCTCCCTGCTTCTGCCCTCCGCATGCCCGTTTTCCGGCATACCCCTCACGCTTCGTGGCCCCATCGGGAGCTCCGAAAGCCCCAGCGGCAAGGTTCGCTTGCGTACTCGGGTCCACTCTGGCGCACCCTGCACACGCTTCGTGGCCCCATGGGGAGCTACTCCGAAGGCTCCACCCATGTCGGCACGCCCACCACACGTTCCGTGGCCCCCG